AGCAATATGCATACATCTATGTGGAAAGCGATATGCGTGGTGTAAACCATGCGATGTGATGTGTGTGTGGTGCAAGCTATGTGGTGCGATGTATGTTTGCTATATATGCCGTGCAAGTTGTGTCGTGCGATCCATGGTGTGCAATATGTGTGGTGTAGGATACGTGGTGCAATCTAGGTTATGCGATCGATGCTGTGATGTATGTACGTATAGGGTGAAATGTATGTTGTGCAATGTAGGTGGTGCGCTCAGGGTGATGCCATGTATGTTGTGCGATCTACGTAATCCACTCAATGTGGTGCAATGTATGCGGTGCAACCTACGCGGCGCAATACATCTCTATGCATAATTAGTTATATACACATATATGCATGCATGCGGTACACGCTACGCTGTGCGATCTACGTGGTGCGATACATGTTGCGCAATACATGTCGTGCAATCTATGTGATGCAATATACGTGGTGCAATGTATGCGGTGCGATCTGTGGTGCGATATATGCGGTGCAATCTATAGGCGGCGACGGGCGGCGACGAGGCGGCGACGAGGAAGCGACGAGGAGCCAGCGGCGGCCACATAGCCACCTGAGCAAAGACACGGCACGGTTCCTTAGAACAGAAGTAAGAACTCCTGAGTGCAAGCACTGTTTGGGGAATATGCACACACCATGAGTGCAATGATGCAGGAGAACGTCGAGTATTCACCCACGGCGATCCTGGGCCCAGGCTCGGCCTGGCAGAGGTCGGAGTACGTGCACAGTTGGTTCCCTCCGAGACTGCGCACAGACATCTGTTCCTCTCCTGCTGGACAAGGTGCACAAGCTCCGAGCCTCCGAGACGCCCGAAACCTCTGCGCTTGCCCTGCCCCATGGAGGAGGTTCGTGAGGGTTCCTGGAGCAGACATGAGGGAGCGGACAAACGGGGCGAAGAGTGGTCCGGCGAGAACGACGAGCTCATCTGCTTGGCTCGGATTCGAGTTCGAGCAGGGCTGTTTACCTCAGCAGAGCCCCCCACGCACAACTCTCCGAGGAACTCTCGCAAAGGACCCACCTGGGTGAGCCTTCATGGGAGCCTCTGTGGACCTCCACGGCCCAATCATAAACGTGATGTCGACCGGATGTCATCCAGACTTCGACCACCTCTCTTCACCGTTTCGTCCAGAGTGCGTCCAGACCTCGTCCAAATCTCGATCAGATGTCGACCAAATCTTACGAAATCCCCAAGACCGCAAGGAATATTGGGACTATCTGAGGCTGCCATGAAGGACCACATAAACGCATGGGTGGCGTTAGGAAGTCAGGCTTTCGAAATTACCGCACAACAAAGAAATCCCACTGAGGACCGCTCTGAGCTGAAAATGTCCGGCGGCCTCCCCGTGGGGCCTCCACGGTGCGAATCGTAACGTTACAGTCACATCAGCATCGTTGTTGTGATGCAGAAGACATCATGCAGTGGCCGCGTCCTGGCCTCCCAAATGGGGTCCGAGAAGATGGGGTCAGAGGATCATGCCGCATCGCCGATGCACCTCCCATGCATCGGCGATGTATCAGCGATGCATCGGAAACGTCAGCGCGGAGAAAATCGGGATCCACATTGAGCCGCATCGCCGATGCATCGGCGATGCGGCGCGAGCACGCGACCCCACTTGGGAGGCCTGACCGCCCCCTCCGTGAGACTCCCCGCCGGCCCACCAAACAGCGCTCAATCCACCCCGGTTGGGAGTCCCAGGGCTCTTGCCTCCCACGAGCCCTCCCGAACCACAAGGGAGCCGCACTCCACAGGCCACGGCCCCTCGCAAGTGATGCCGGTTTCCGTGCGCGCTCCCGGGGCCACGAGCTGCTGGACTCCACTGGCTCCGCGCACCAAGAGCCACCATCCCTGGCAGATGAAGCCAGATACGCGCTGAGCCATACGGGTCCGATCCCCCATAAAATGCAGCGGATCCAACCTCCAGGGGCCACGATCCCTGCGAAATGATGCTGAATCTGCGCTCGAAGTGCCACGGTCCTTCAAAAATGACCGCTGGATCGATCCTTCGTAGAGTAGAAGCTGCATCCGCGCTCCAGGGGCCCTGGCCCCTGCTGAATGACCCTGCATCGCGCACCAAGGGTGACGATCCCGAGCAAATGTGAAGCTGGCTCTGCGCTCCCAGTGCCGCAATCCTCTGCAAACGACGCTGAATCTGCGCTCCAGGGGCCACGACCCCCAAGACGCTGCACGGGATCCGTGCCTTCGGGGCCTCGGCCCCTCGCGAAAAAACACTCGGGAGCAGCGCTGCAGGGCCCGCAATCCGTGACGGGCTGACCCGAATCTGCGCCCCCAGGAACAACGAGCCTGTGTGCAGGACGCTGGACCTGCCCTCCCGGGGCCACAATTTGATTTGTTGGAAATCATACTGGACCCGTGATCCAAGGGCCATCATCCTTTGTTAATCACACTGGGTGCGCGCTTCATGGGGTCACACACCCCAGTTTATTACAATGGATTCCATGATTCAAAGGCATCGATCTCTTGCAAATGAAACTGAATCCGCGCCCCCAGGGCCACGGTCTCCGCAAATTACAGCCTGGGTCCGCGCCCCCTAGCACATCATTACAAGGGGCCCGTGCACTCAAGGCTTGGAATCCTGGACACCTATGACAAAAGATCCGCGCACCCAGGACCCCGATCCTTAATGAATTACGGTGGGCCCATGCCCCCGTGAACCTTCCTGGCGGATCACTACAGGACCACGCTCCTGGGGCGAGAATTCATGTAAAATCGCCCCGAAGCACCTGGAGGCCCAGAGAGGCTTCTGCGAGACCCAACAGCCCGCCAGAGGACCAACCATCAGGGCGCGCTGAGAAGGCTACAAGAAGTAACAAAGATCGGGGATGAACAGACCCCTCTTTAGTAAAACGTAGTTTAGTGAACACGACCTCGGGCCCAAACCTGACGGGCGCAAGCCTGGAAAATTACGGCCGCGGCGCCCTCTCCGGAACCGAAAACGGACAATTCACAAATCGACGTGTCAGGGTGGGTGTTCTGTTCACCCCCGAAAAGACATGCATCAGGAGAGCCAAGACAGGGCACGAGACGGAACAAGAGGGCCTCACCAGAAGGGAGGAAAACCCTTAGACGGCACAACAAGTTCCCCAACGGAGCCCCAAGATAATATAAGTATCGTTGAACCGATCCCCATCCCCAGCGGCGTGGCCTGGGCCCCGCTGGCCGACTTACCCCCCTAGATGGGGATATAGGTCGTCCTCTTCGGTTTTCGAGGGGTGCATCCCCAACTGGGTGGTAATTTGGTGGGGGTCTCGAAGAAGATTGAGATGGGGATGGGGATCAAGAAAAACGATGATACCGAGAAAGAGGAGAAGAGGATGGCGACGAGGAGCGACGATGGCGGAACGCGGGATCCCTCGACGCCCAGAGCTTGGTACAGGATTCGGCCTGACCTAAAGAACGATAAATAAGAACGAAGCCCCTTTGTCCCAAGTAAGTTGAAGGGGCCCCAGGACACACAAATAAATACACACAAATAAAACTATTCCCCATATTTTCCCATATTTTCTGGTTTTTTGTCTTCCCCCCCACTTCCCATATTTTCCCATATTTTCCTGGGGATCGCCGATTAATTGTGTCTGTATGTTTCTTTCCCTCCTGATAAGTCTCGGAAGTCCGAAGGAACACCAGGGGGGCTCGCCGCCAAAAAGGTAGCGGAATGCGTGCAGACCCGAGGAACGACCGAGCCACTTTTGAAAAGTAAGTGTTCCGTATTCAAGCCGGAGCTCCTCTGAAACCAAAATCTACCACTGGACTGGAGGCATGCTGGGCGTGTTAGAATGCATCTCTGTTGACTAGTGAGGTCCCTGAGATGTTGTGAAGCCGACCCCCCACCCTCGGCGCAAACAGCCTCGAACAAATCGCCACCCCATGACATTTCTCTTCAGCACCCCTTCGGCCTCTAGACGACTCCAAGAGAGCCTAAGACCGTCTCAAAACGGCTACAAGACGCCCCAAGATCGTCCAAAGACAGCCCATCGAGGTCCCACAGGCTACAAGACCTCCCAAGATGCTCTTACAGGCCCCTAGAGGGGTCCAAGCGACACCCCACATTTCACCACATACGCGCTTCCAGAGGCAGGGTGTGATGATGATTCGCCAGATGCGGCATCTTGTCGGGAGTGAAATCTATATTTTTGAGCACCCTTCGGAAAAACGCCATACAGGTAAAGAACTGCATCATCTATGTATAGATATACATATACAAATACGTAAGCGCGTATACAATGGCATGATTCACTGCATAGAAATAAAACCCATTGCGGGTATGATTGCGCCACCGGCTCCCTCGGAGAAGACTCGCATTGGGATCAGCAGAAGTGCGCCATGCTGCTTCAATTGTCGGCCTCCGCGGTCAGACCTCTGCAACAATCAGCAGTCAACAGCGATTCCCCGCAGCGAGTGGTCAAATGGCAGCACCCAGCCACGAACAGCGCGTGTCTCTGTATGAAGAGTGCGTCCTCCATGTTGGCTTCTGCCTGTAAGCTCCTGCGGCCGATCCATCCGGAAGTGACTGGAGGAATCCAATCATTGGTTTTCTCTCTTGGCTTTCGAGTGAACGTTGCCTGCTGATCATCAGGCTCATCAGACGGGAAGACCTTGAGACAATCACTCAGGGCCACCTACCTGAGAAACGCATTTTTTTCGTTTCTGCCTGCGCACATCTACTCTGGGTAGGCAAGATGGGCAATGCGTGCTACACGCACTATCGACTCGTTGCTGCCGAACGCAAAGCAAAGAGCAAATGCAAACTGTAACTATTTCCTGCTGGGATATGTGCGCATCATCGATTATCATATCCCGATGTCCTCTCTCATCGTTTTTCTCTGCCATATGTTCTTCATGTTCCGTATCCTCTTACTCATCCTGAAAATCCACCCTAGTCGCCATTTCCCCTCATCAAGTTTCGTACACCCCTCTGCCTTCACATCCTTCTTTCCCTCCAATCCCGCCTTATCGCGGATCCACAGAGCGCGTTTCTTGGCTCCGGCCGCGTGGTGGTGCCACCTTTCATCTATGATCGTCTCCAGGGCGGCTCGCTGCGAGGGAAATTTCCTGGGTAGGCGAATGAGCATATTCTAGACCGCTCTTCCCAGGTTTCTCCTCATGTCTTACGGCTACGGCTACAGCGAAAACCTCGATTGTCATTACGAAACAAGACTGGAATAGCATGAATGCTGAGTGCACGAAATCGCCCCACCCAACAACGCAAGAGCACCAGCGACAGAGTATTCACCAGGTTGACGCATAAGTTGCGTTCACGCGTGGGCATTGCTCAGACGAGAAGCTGATAGTCCGAAATCACAAATTGTTTGGCCCAGGGGGTGCAGCTTCGAGATGGCACGATTCAGGGTAAGCTTACAAGATGTCAGCTCTGGACTAGTTGCTAGCATTAGCATGCGCGAAAGAGGCACACAACGGCCAACGCCGCCTGGCAGCACACAGTGAACCAGCAAATAACTTCTAGCTGGCTTCAATTTGGAACCATCCCCAGAGCACGTCCTATAAGCGCCCCTCACACTATTGTCATCCCATGGGGGCAAAGAAACGACTTCGCGAAATGGCAACAAAGGCCGTCCCACAATCTCCCTTCGGGTCTGACTACTGGCAAGGTTGGCGCAAACGAGGGGAAAGTGAATGGGGGGAACGCGTCCACTTCAGGCAAGGTCCATGTTCAACAACGCTGGCGCTTACGCTGACACACACACACACACACACGCATATACACACACACACGCACATTGTTCCAATGCTGTCCCGCAAGAGGGCCGGCGGCGTTCCTGATTGCTGCAAGACAGGCCACTCCCTCGATCCGCACGCAGTGCACGCACCCAGCCAGCGTCGCGCGCACGGTCAGCGTTCTGGTGTCCTTTGGGGGGAAACGTTTTCCCGCCTCGCATTCCCGTGTCTCCGTTCCCATCTTCCCGTCCCCCCCCTGCTCCTCCTCATCCTCCTCCCTCCTGTTCCTGCTGTTGCTGCTCCATGTTCTCCTCCTCCTCCTCCTCCTCCTCCTCTTCCTCCTCCTCCTACTACTCCTACTCCTACTCCTACTCCTACTCCTACTCCTACTCCTACTCCTACTCCTACTCCTAGTCCTACTCCAACTACTCCTTTTCGTATCATGTTCATTCCTCATCGTCCTCCTCCGCATTCGTTTCTGTACTAGCACGCGCTCTCCAACGAGACGCCCCGTCCTGAGTGCCAAAGAATACCCGTCGACACAAGAGTTGCGGGAAGTAGACAAGGGCGGCGCGGAAAGTCATACAACGCTATGGCGGGGTTATGCGACACTGTGGTTGCGGAATGTGAGCAAAATCTTCCCCCATCAAAAATTGAAAGGCCCGCCAGTCGGAACCTCTGCCTCCCGCAGCAGGAGCGAACCACGGAGATGGCCAAGACCGACTACACGATGGCGGCGAACACCACACAGCGGCAGGCGAACGAGGCGGAGGCGGCGGAGCTGGAATGCCTCCAGCATGCCTTCGCCTCAGGCTTGCAGCGCCTCCAGGCCAGGCCTGACGGCTGATCGCTGCGCGTGGCCTGCGGGGTCCGTCTGGGGAGAGCACAGTGGCGCTGCGGCCCAGAGAGCGACGGTGCAGGCGCTCGACCGGCTGCGTGCAAGTCAGGGCGGGCATCTCCTCGGTTGAGGTGGCCCTCGCCTGCGATCGTTTCTCTCATCAACGGGGGAGGCGGGCCCTTCTGCTCAAGAAGGCCAGGGGCGGGGTTGAGGCGGTCCGCCTTCGCCTGGAGCCTCTTGGCGGCGAGGGCCGCTGGAAAGCTGCCCAGGGTGAGGTAGCGCCGAGGCTTCAAGCCAGCGTAGGGTCACAACGTCGCACATGCACAAACGTGCTTCCCGCACGTACTGGGACGCGTGCAAAAGCATGGTCTGAACGAGTGTAACAATCGAATTAAACACTGTACACACGCCTGTGCAATCATACCGGCACGGATTCAAACGCCTCTACGTGTATACACACATGCCCGTGCACATGGATGGAATGTGTATGTGCAGACATGCACGTGTGTGTAGAAAAGGTTGTGTGTATATATGCATATATGTGCATAAGTTACTGGGTGACAGTCGCCGTGCTACTCCAGAGTTGCGAGGTGGCCCGTCTTGGGGATCTCTTGGGGCTGTTGTGAGGCCGCCTGAGCAACCTGTTGGGCCGTCTTGCGGCCCTCTTGGGCCGCCTCGGGTCCCTGTGCCGCCTTGGGACATCTTGGGGCAGTGTCTGGGCGGTCTGGAACTCCACTGGGCTGGTTGGGGGTTCTCCTCGGAGCCCCTGTGGCGGGCCTCTTTGGTCGTCTTGCGCCCTCTGGGGCTATCTTGGGCCCCTCTTAGATCGTCTTGGACCCCGCGCCCCCTCTTGAGACCTCCTGGTCGCATTGTAGGCTCGTGGGCCGTCCTGGCGGTTCTGAAGAACACATCTTGCAATCAAACTACTGAAGTTGTAATGCAAAGGCGGCGTTGCACAAATATTACAATAAAACCATGAAAGCTCAATGGAAACTCAATGAAAGCTGCCTGTCGGGGGCCTCTTCGAGGGTTCTTTCGAGTCCCATTGGGCCGTCGAGGGGGCCTGTGGCCCAGTCCTGCAGTCATTTTGGGCCGTCGCTGGTCCGTGTTTTACATATGTATGTATATATATATATATATGTACACATATATACATATATATATGTGTGTGTGCGTGTATGCGTGTACATATACATGTCATAGAATTACATATGTAACAATCGAGAAACATGTACGTAAATGTGCATGCGCGTACACATACCAGCATTACAGTGATTGCATTACACTACACTACATTACACTACATGACATTATACAGCAGTACAATGCTTTCCATTACTTACACTACATTACAATACATCATTGGTTTGCATTATATTGCATTGCATCCCATCGGTTACATACATACATATATACATGCATACATGCATACACGCATACATGTATACATGCATACATGCATGCATACATGCATGTATGCATGCATACATACATACATACATGACCCCATCCACCCATGCATACATACATATATACATACATACATACATACATACATACATACATACATACATACAGTATCGAGCCACGCGCGCGCTACACGCGCGCGACGCGCGCTTAGGTTTTGGCCGACTCCGCAGTCAGCGTCAGCAGGCTTTGCACAAACCCACACACCCGAATTTACCAAAGGAGAAGTGCCCCGAGCGTAGGCCACCCTTTAGCGCATGGTGCCAGGCCTTCGGAAGGATAGCAACGGACTTGTGGAGCAGTGGAGGGGGTCCGTCGACTGTCGACCCCTTTGGGGTCATCAAGGTGGGTGAGATTCTCGGGCCCCCACGATCCCCCCCAGGACAGGGGGGGGGAAGGGGGGAGGGGGGGGGAGGGAGAGGGGGGGGGCGCGTGGGTCACTTTACAACCAGAAGCGCACTTTACAACCAGATGGGTCACTTTACAACCAGCTTACAAAATCCGAGAAGGGCACTTTACAACCAGGAAGGGCTTTTTACAACCAGGCAAGTAAAAACACAGATTGAATGCACGCGGGCCTTTCCCTGAAATCTCCGTGGGCAAGCGCAAGGGTGGCTTTGGGCTCTTCGAGGCATGTTGGTTGTGAAGTTGCCCATCGCGCACGAAGGAGCACTGCGCACGCGTTGGCGATGCGGCGACCTGGTGCGCTATGGTATGTTGCGTGCTGGTGGGCGGATTAGGGTTTTGACCTGCTCTCTAAGCTCTGTCGGTCAGTTCTGCCATTGCTTGCTCTGCAATTTCCTGACGGACGAAGGCTAGCCGCGCAGGACATACGAATAAACCATGATCCCGTCCAAGACTGGAGCTGCATGGCAGCGGGAAGCTGTAGTGGGAGATGCGGTGGTAGCGGGGGCTACAGTGGGAACTGCATGGTGTTGGGAAGCTGCGGTGGCAACCGCGGCGGTCGCCAGGCAGCGGTGGGAACTGCGGTGGTAGCTGGGCTGCAATGGGATTTGCGGCGGTAGCGGGGGGTCCGTCGGAATTGCGGAGGTAGCGGGGCTGCAGCGGTAAGTGTGGTGGCAGCAGGCACAAAGGTGGCGGTGATGCGCTGTCACGGTGGCTCAAGCTGCTGCGCTGGCACGGTGGCTGAGGCTGCTGCCCGAGCAGGATACCTGCGTTGCTGCGCTGGCACTGTGGCTGACGCTGGAAGGAACGATCTTCGAAATAGTTGCATTTATTCGGAACGTTGAACCTCAATCTCCCAAGAAGAGGAGCAGCAGGGGGCCAACTGGAGCCGGAGCACTTAGCCCCTTGCAGAACACCATGGGGCTTCAGGGGCCAACGTGGCCCAAGAGACCCGCGGTGCCAATAGCCTAGTTCCCTGGGGCGCTGGGCCCTTGTGGAGGCCACTGGCCGCTTCCTGTGAGTGGTCCCTGAAATGGGCAGCGCGTCGCCCTGAGCCTTCCTACGTATGTTGTCGCCTTATTCCCGTGCGAGCACGGGGCCCTTGTTGAGGCCGCTTGGCCCCTGCTAGCAAGCCCTGTCTTAGTCTGCTGGGCTCAGAGCGCCAGAGCGTCCAGGCGCTCGGGCTCAGAGGCATCGCTGGGGCCTGCTCAGAGCGTCCAGGCGCTCGGGCTCAGAGGCATCGCTGGGGCCTGCGCAGAGCGCCCAGGTCCTCGGGCTCAGAGGCATCGCTGGGGCCTGCGCAGAGCGTCCAGGTCCTCGGGCTCAGAGGCATCGCTGGGGCCTGCGCAGGGCGTTCAGGCGCTCGGGCCCAGAGGCATCGCTGGGGCCTGAGCAGAGAGTTCAGGCGCTCGGGCTCCAGAGCGCCCACGTGCTCTGGAGCACTTTTCAGAGCGTCCGCGCGCCCTGGAGTACGTTTGAGAGCGCCCACTTGCTCTGGAGCATTTTTTCAGAGCGCCCACTTGCTCTGGGGCATTTTTCAGAGCGCCCACTTGCTCTGGAGCACTTTGCGGAACGCCCAAACACGCACGGCCACTCTGAGCTGGTTGTAAAGTGGTCCGTTCTGGTTGTAAAGTGGCACGTTCTGGTTATCAAGTGGTCCGTTCTGGTTGCAAAGTGGGCCGTTCTGGTTGCAAAGTGGACGTTTTCGATGAAGAACCATACTTTCCAATCCTATGTTGTTTGTAAAGTAACCCATCTGGTTGTTGTAAAGGGGTTGTTCTGGTTGTAAAGAAACTCGGGGGGGGGGGGGGGGGGGGCAAAATTGCAGCGGAAATACTGAGCGAACTTTCCCCGTTTGACTATGGGATCTCCACTGTCAAACGGGCAATCGGCCACACCTCCCTTCAGATTGGCTGCTTGGCAATGGAGATGCAACTATAAAATGGGCAATCGGGCACCCCGATGACCTGACAACGGGATTCCCTTTGCCAACTGGGCGATCGGAGCTCAATTCACCCGCCTCGGCCTCGCCCCCCCGATTGCTCATTTGAATGTGGCCCCCACGGCCAAACGGGCAATCGGAGCTCAATTCCTGCGACTCGCCCCCCCATTGACAGTGGTCCCCCACTGACACATGGGCAATCGGAGCTCAACTCCCGCGCCTCGGCCTGCCTCACCGATGGCCCATGTGACAGTGCGCCCCCGCTGTCAAATCGATAATCGGACTAACTTGGCCGCCCAGACTTGGCCCCCGAACAAACTATTTGACAATGGCCCCGCTACCAAATTCGCTAGCCACCCCCTCCCCCCCGCCTTGACTGGGCCTGTACGTTTGCAATTTGGCCCCGGGAGCTACATCCATACTGCAAAGGTTTCATGGAAGACCACCGAAGAGCCGCGCAAGAGCATCCTGACGACCCCTCACGAGCTTCGTAACGACAGGGGCCTCAGAAGGGGGCACCTTACAAACAGATCATGGAACATCGAAGTTGAAAGTTTACTTTTTCGGCCTATGCTCGCGCCATCCAGATCGCGGCCATTCCACCTGCATCGATCGCAAAATCATCGCGGAACGGCACCGGAACCCCAAGTTCGACGCAACTGTATGCAAGCGGTGAGCCGTGAACCTGGTCACCGCCCGAAGCCTCGTAGAGTTCCTCGCGCGCGTTGTATTCTGGTGGCCGCAAGACTTCGCTCCACCGAATGCCTCACTGGCAAGGTGCCGCATAGCGCCCCTCCGCCCATTTGGGGACAACCCTCGCCATAAACATTATGTGGCCCCGCGGGTGGCTGGCTGGTCAGATTAGCGTCAGCTACAAAAGTTCGTGTCACTCGAAGCATAGCAAGGCGCTGGGGCGGAAGAACTTTTCGCTTCACGCGGCTAAAATTACAGCGTTTGCACATGTTGTGTGACTTCAAGGTTTTGACGACGAGCTCCATGGGAGTCACGGAAGAATCCTCTGGGCGCCCTCTTGGGGCAGTCTTGAGACCCTCTTGGGTCGTCTTGGAGCCTTCTCGGCCCGCCGTTGGCCCCTGCGAAAGCTCCCTTGAGCCTGGTCCGTCGTGGAGCTCCTTTGGGGCCATCTTGGGGTCCTTTCGGGCGCCTCTGAGTCCCACTCAGCCCTCTCGGATTCATCCGGAACGGAAAGAAATAACACAACAACTATACAGAAGACTGCCGCATATTTCGACTGATGTTGGTCGCCTGGATATCCTCGTGGGAACCCCATAAGTACCATCTTGGAGGCATCCTGGGGCCCTCTCGGGCTGCCCTGAGGCTCTCTTAGGCAACGTTGGCGACGTCTTGGGTTTCATTACGTCGGACCTTTTTTTTCTTCGAGTTGGAGCAACATGCAGCAGGCAATGTCTGCGGTGCGAACAGCATAGGCCCCCCTACTACTTGCGGGTGTATCCCGCTGTCACCTCACACTTCTCCAAAGCTACGCGCCTCGCAGCATGGAGACACAACGTGCAGCAGGCAATGTCTACAATGCGGGCGGGATTGGTGCCCCCTGCTATTTGCGGGTGCATGCCGCTCTGTCCTCACGGCCCATGCAGCAAAGCTACGCACCAACTTGTTACAGCAGATGGCGATGATGAGAAGGCAGCGGAGGCGCAATGCCGCGAGAAGAGAGGAGAGAATTCGCAGAATTGTGGAGACTCTTGGGGGGCATCTATGGCCGTATTGGTGCTATCTTGGGGTGCCTCTTGGGCCGTCAAGGGCCCTTTCGGGGCCGTCTTGGGGCCCTCTTAGGGGGCAGCTGGACCCCCGAGGGGCCTCTTGAAGCTTCTTGGGGCTTGGCTGGCGGGGTCGGCGTCTGTGCTGCCGCTCCCAGGGCTCGCCTGGGGGCGTCTTGGGCCCTTTCGCGGGGCCTCTTGGGCCGTGGAGGGGTCCTCTGGGGCCGTCTTGGGGCTCTCGACACAGAACTACGTGCACATAAATATGTATATGCATATACATGTACAGATCAACTTATACATTATACATACATACATATACATGTGCATATGCATGTACATACACACATGCATTTACATAGATGCGCATACATACACACGCCACTGTGCCTCCGGCACGAAGTGGAGTGCCCCAAGGCCCATTCAGGTGTACGAATTTGGTGGATCGTACGATACTGTAGGGCCTGGCCCACGATTTTCCCAGCAGCTCCCGGCGCTGTTGGGCGCACTTGGGCGCTGACGGGGTGTGTCTCGCCAGCCTCCAGGACAGCGACTAAAACGACCCAAAGAACCCCCAAGGCTTCCTGAGAAGCGCCCACAACGATCCAAGAGCGCCCCGAGCCAGTCCCAGAAGGCCCCAGTACTGCGCTCGACACCAGAAAGCCCAAGAAGCGCTCAAGAACCCCCAAGAGGGCTTGAAGGACCCCCCGCCCTAACTCATTGATTTGCCACAGATTTGTTTTTTAACAATTTTGGCGGCGTTCTCGCCTTTTCCAGCTCCCGACGCTCCAAGACGGCCAAAGATGCCTCCAAGGTCGCACCAAGACGGCCCAGGAGGCCCCCCTAGAGGGCCCCCAGACGACCCAAGAGGGGCCCAAGACGGTCCAAGAGGCCCCCCAGACGGCCCAATAGGGCCCCAAGAGAGGGAACTCAAACTGGCATTACGAGCCATCCGCCCCAGGATGTCCTGGGAGACCGCCAGCAGGCCCCCAAGACGCACCCCAGAAGACCCAGGAGGCCCCCAAGAGCCCCAAATCAGACCCCTGGAGGCCCCCAAGAGGCCCCGAGAGGCCCAAAGACACGCCAAAAATCATGTCCTAGAGGCTTCCGATGGGCCTCCCAAGAGATCCCCACGGGCATCCAAGAGGCCTCTAACCTACAACCTACGCACGATGGTAGAATGCGCCGAAGGCCTCTCTCTCTCTCTCTATTCCCTATGCTTATGTTAGTTTCTCTGTTGTTTCTCTCTCTCTCTTTCTCTCTCTTTCTCTCTGTCTCTCTTTCTCTCTCCCTCTCTTAGTTGTTTATTATCTCTCTCTCTAGAGTGAATGCACACATGTACCACTAATGTGTAAGTATGTATAGATACACGCACAAATGAACACGCAAATGTCCGCCCTGGTGCTCGTTACGTGTACATGTGTGAATGTGTAAATCGATACGTGTACATACATGTGTATGCATGTGCTTGGTAATGGATACACATACGCCCACTTTCACACTACATCCCGAAAATTACCAATCGTCAACTCGTTGGGTGCATGTACGGAGCGCCCATCATGAGTGGACAAGAACGCCGTCTGGCTCTAAGACGACTTCAGCTAGACTCCTGCAAGGCTACCACGTTTATCCTCAGATGGGTCCACCTGGATACAGGGCTCCAACATTACTGACTACAGACGAGCTTCAGGCTCTGCTCCTCTTCAAGTTCGCACTCTCTGGCGCCCTGGTGACACAAGCGAGAGCATGAACAAGCAAGAACGCACGATCGATCGAGCCCGCAGCCATATCTTCCAGCGCGACCCTTGTCTCTTCACACTCCCTTGACAGGCGTCGTTATGCGAGCCGTGACGCCATCCCGCCCACCTCATCCCCAGGGCGGGTCCGAGAACCCTAGCGCCCCCGACTCGCCGAACGTCTCGCCTGGCGTGACGTGCCCCATGTACACGCCGTGGTTGTTCTGCGGTTGGGACGGGCAGACTGTGCTGGGGGGCGGAGGGCGAGAGACCGAGAGGGCAAAGCACAATCGCACGACACACGTCCATCTCGCCAGCGTGAAAAGTTCGGTGGCAACTCATGGGAGCCTCCCATACCATCTTGTCGGCGCTTGCGAATCGACGCTAATCGGCGCTGGTCGACGCTAGCCGACGCTAGATCGACGCTAATCGACGCTGACCGACGCTAGATCGGCGCTACCTCATCGACTCCCAGACGCTAATCGACGCCAATCGACGCTAAAGACGGAATTAAGAGGGCACAGAGGGGGCCGATCCACAAGAGAACTTCCACAAGAAACCCAACCCTGGACGTCCATTGATTTTTGAAGTGGGAACGTCACGCTTTCCATCGCAAAGCCATCGGAACCCAAGAAACCCAGGGCACCCTGGAGGCAACCAGGGTGTTTTTTGGCATGGCCCCCCACTGTGAACCAGGCTCCACGGATCTGCTACCGAAGAGAAGCGAAAGACCCGAACTGGAATCTGCACCGTGCTCGCTCCACGAGCGCACGCCGGTGCACACGCGCATCGACCCTTCGCCGGGCAGGAGCACCCACGCGTCGGGCAAAAGATCTTCTGCGGGGGCGGGATACCATGAGGTCGGGCATGTCCTCCTGCAGGCGGATTTCGGCCGAAAGTTAAAAGATTGTCAAACATTCGAAAATGATCAAGAAACAATCGAAAAACTGTCCCCCGACCATTTTTGACTATTTTCAATATTCCTCCTGTAGAGGGACATGCCCGACTTAAAGATACCACCGGAACACACAAAATAGACAAACTGAACCGAGGAGGGACAGCAAGGTCCAACTGGGACAGGCCGACTGGAAACATGGTCGGACGGAGACAAGAAGTACAGCAGAGATCGGCGGCAAGCACGGCGGGAAGTGAGAAGGATAAGGCCTTCTCAGAAGGCGGCGGGACTTCTCAGAGGCCCCTGCGCCTTCTGAGAAGTTTTGCGCCTTCAAGGAAGGCTTCGACAACTTCCCGGAAGGCCTGGGGACTTCCAAACCGTCTGCAAAAGTCCGCCCTTTCTCACTTCACCCCGGTCCCTTGTCTCTCCCTCGCCCTCCTCCTCCTTTCTCCTCTCCTCCTCTCCCTCCTTCTCCTTTCTCCTCTCCTCTCCTCCTCTCCCTCTCTCCCTCCCTCTCCCTCGCCCTCCTCCTCCTCCTCTCCCCCCGTTCCCCTCCTCACCCTCCCTCCTCGCCCTCCCTCCCTGGACAAGGGGGTACGAAGAGAGTGACCGAGGCGGGAACCGCAGCGGCAAGTGCAGACCGCCACGCCTCCAGCACCAGGTCTCCAGAGATCAGGGCGTAGAAGGGCGTGACGCCAGCCTTGCACGGGTCCCCCTGCGCCATGATCACCTGAGGGGGGACACGCCTGGCCGATACGGCTGCTGCAATTTTGCACAAGACTGCTGTAGCAGAATGGGGCCTGGCGAACTGCAGTAATGCCAGCTTGTGATTCACGAATCCGTGGGGGGCGCGTGTTTAAAAAATAATCTCCCTGCTCGAGCGATTCGCGGGGTAGCGCCCACCAGATTGAAAATCAACGGGGCGGCGCCATGATTAGCGCCGACGCCCGGCCGCCAACGAGAGGCAAGGGGGGCGTGTTTGGAGGCAAGGGCAAGCCAGGGCGCCCCTTTTTCTGTCGAGCCGATGCGAGCCTGCGGCCAAGGCGGGCTGGACGAAAGCTCAGCGCAGCAAAGGGGGGATTTGCCAAGCAGCTCACGTCGCCGATTTTCTAAGCGCCTCCTGGCGCCGAAAGCGGCCATGTGTCGAGGATTGGCCCTTCGGCGAGGCGGCCGAAACCAGCTGCGCGCAGCAGGCTTTGCAACCCCCCATTTCCTTCCCCAGCCTTTCGTCCGACCCGAGCAAAGCAGATTGTCGCCGTCGTCGCCGCCGTCCCCCGCCCTGCCCGGGCCCGTTTCCAGTGCCCGCTCTTTTCGTCGACGACGACGACGACGACGACGACGACGACGACGAGGACGACGGACGGCGGACGGCAAGCGGCGACGGCGGCGACAACGACGACGCACGGCGGATGCCCTAGGGGGGGGGCTTCGCAGGCCCGCTGTAGTCGACGACGACGACGACGACGAAGACGAATACGAAAACGACGACGACAAGGACGACGAAGAAGACGACGACGACGGCGGCGACGGCGGCGGCGGCGGCGACGACGATGACGACGACGCCTGAGAGGGGGAACGAAAATTCGCCTCGGATGTGTGTACGACCCTTATAACAACTTCTATACGTAAGGCAGTCATTTTGAGACTGTCATGGAGGGGGGTACACGATCCCCTCGGAGGCGCCCAGTGACGACCCCCTGGCGCGCGTGATTAAAAAAAAGGTTTCGCGCCGCGCGGAGTCTACTCATCAGCCCCGGGGGGTGCCTTTTGGTAATCACAAGCTGACATTAAGAGATGATAGACCTCACGCGTTTTGGATGGGATGGCGGCGGCTGGCACATACCATGCCGAACAGACCGGCACATCCACAAGTCGGCCGCGAGCAAAGGGGGGAATTGAGAAGGGGCGCGCCATCCCAGAAGGCTCGGAAGCCCCCCCGCCTTCTGGGAAGTTTTCTAAGTCCGCGCCACTGTTGACATCTACCCACCAATCCTTGTGTTGCATCTTCGAGGAACCTTGCCTGTCCCGTCGCGCCGCGATCCGCGTCGAATCCGAGTCGAACCGTGTCGAACGCATCGAGCCCATATCGAATTCGTGTCAAATCCACGTCGAACTCACGTCGAATCCGCGTCGAGCCCACGTCGGAGTACAAGAAAATACTGAAATTTACAGGACAAGGCGGGTACCCCGAAGAGGCAAAAGAACAATGCCCCTTGGTAAAGCGCGGCCCGCGTTGGAGCACGAGCGCCCTTCCGAACGGTGGGTCCCCAACACCGGACCTGCAAAATGGCCCAACGGCTTGAAGAACAGAAGAAATTGTGCTCCATAGTCAGACACATAACTAGCGGAACAAACAACGACATGAACATAAAAACTCGGAGGTCCGCGCGGATTCCTCGGATCGGCGCTGGCGCCCCCTGGCGGCGGCTCCGGCGCCGCCCCTGGCGCGCTACGCGCGCCAGGGAAGGAAGTACAGCACCGATCCGAGGAATCCGCGCGGACCTCCGTTATGCTTATGTCACTGTCTGTTCGGCGAGAAGCATTAGATCATGAAATCGTACAGCGGAGACCAGTGCACAAGAAACCTTCCAGGACATCATACGCAGAAGAGGCGGCGCCACCGTCGTTCGAGGACGGCAATCACATGCAGAATTGATCGACCCAAAAACTGGCTTCCACGTCGAATCTACGGAAATGCGTCGAATGCTCCGTAGTTCTATTGAGCATTGATATGTACTGTTCGTGACTTCGACGGGAAAGTCAAATTTAGTGTTAATTAATCCTGTATTCGATCCCCGACTCGAATCGCAAAGAATATGGATGAGAGGAGTAGGAGAAACAGAGGCGGACACAGGGGGGGCGGAGGCGGGGAGGCATCGACGAGAAGGCATCGACGAGGAAGGCATCGAATGCGACTGCTGCGACGAGGAAGGCATCGAATGCCAGAACGACTGCAACGACGAGGCATATGAAGGCGACTCCAACAACTAGGAAGGCATCGAATGCCAAAGCGTTGCCAGCCCGAGAGTGCGCCAACGCCGCAGCAGGACTGGAGACGGTCCGACTGGAGGAGCAAAACCTCTGCATAGGAATAGCCAGCAACTGAAGCCGTGTTCGAAAAGCAATACGCAAAAAAAATTGGCGCCTTGACGGCGGCAAGTTGTCAGGGGGAGAGGCGAATACCACTCGTGATTGTGGACTGCTCACAGAGGAGGGGAGAGGGAGACGGGAGGTGTGAGAGGAGAGAGAAGGCAAAGGATGGGAGGCAGGAGGAGGCAGGAGGCGGGGGGGGAGGATGGAAAAAAGAGAGGAGAGAGGAGGGTGGAGGGAATAAGGAGACGAGGGAGGCGAAAGGGCCGAGAGAGGAGGCAGGAAGGAGGAGGGTGGACAGAGGAGGGAGGAGTGAGGAGAAGGGAGGGACGGGGAAAGAGGTGTGGGGAGGACAATGAAGGGAAGGAAATCGAGGGTGGAGTGAGGAAGTATATACAGGAGAGCAAGCAGCAGGAGGAGGGAAAGCAAGCAGACAAAATCGAGCAAGCTCAACAAAAGGAAGTATTCAGTGGACCATGGCGATGTTCACGCGGGTTTCGCCTCGCCAGGCTGCATGAATTTGTCCTCCATGTTCTCACACAGCTGGACCTGAGTAGTGAAGCAGCTTCTGGGTGCAGAAACAAGTCTAGACCGAAAGAAACAAAGACGACCCGGTCAGAACAAGCTCAGAGATCTCATGGGGCACCAGAAATGATAAGACACAGAAACAGCTTGATAGTTCCGCTCGTCGCACCACGTAGGAAGCACAGGAGGGATGGAGCCAACATCTACCAAAACTCTTTGGCCACAGAAACTGGCGCCAAATCGCACGGACATGCGACCTCCCACACCCGGCTGCCTCAGTACTAGTTTTAGGTCGGGCCTGTCCTCCTACAGGCGGATTTGGGACGACAAATGAACAATAGTCAAAAAAAATACCCAACAGGAAAAGCCTCCCCAGACTATTTTTCACGAATTTTGAATGTTCCCCATGTAGAGGGACATGCCCGACTTAACACGAGTGCCACGGCCAGCGGCGGAGGTGCGCGCACGAGCCGAACTCCAAAGGATGCTTGCGATCCCTGGAAGTCGCACGCAAGAAAGGAACGAGGCTGCCAGGCGTAAAGACGCTGGTCCGTCAAAGCGTCGCTCAATGGCATCACTGTCCCTGCGCCGGTCGAGGCGTGACCGCGACCTGCACGGCGCGAAGGCATGGTGGATAAGCGAAAGACCGGGTCGGGGACCTCAGCCCTATTGCAATACGATCAAGACAGTATTATAGTATTGTATGCGTGCGTCGCTGCCGTACCTTCTCTGCTGAGCTCCAATGCTTCTCGTACATACATCGGTGCCCAGCTGCAGCGGAAACTGTACGCCCACATGGCCAGGACAGGAGCTTGTCAGGTTGACAGCAACGAAGGCACTCTCTCTGGACGTGTTCCCTTCGCTGGTGCCTCTCGGCAACTGCGGCTCAGCTGTAACCTGATCGTGCACCAGGAATGCTGGGGCCAGCCTGCGTAATCGTGATGATCAGAAGCCCAGTCGAGCTTCTGAAACAAGGAACGATCAATAAGGAACGAAGCCCCGTTTTGTGCCCAAGAGCGCCTGGGTGAACGAGGAAGGCTAGAGGAACAACCGCGGAATGGCCCGAGGACCAGCGAGCCCCTTCCGAACCCAAAGCGGTCCTTATTTCAGAGTCTTAGCTTTAGGTCTGGCATGTCCCCCTACAGGCTGATTTTTGACGAAAACTCAAAAACGTACAAAAACACTTAAACTTGCAAAAGATAATCGAAAGTTCGTCCCCCGAATAGGTTTAAACTATTTTGAACATTCCTCCTGTAGAGGGACACGCCCGACTGAATCTTAGCTGTGTTGGAAACACGGTGTGGTCCGCCCCCATGCCTTCAGCATATACGGAGGTGCCAGCTCGCTCTCAGAGCTGTGAGTGCTAGCGGGATTGCAGGATTACAGAGGGGGCCAGTCCACAAGAAACCTTCCACGAGAAACCCAACCCTGGAACCCCAGGAGGTCCATGGATTTTTGGTGCGAGAACGTCACGCTTTCCATCGCAAGACCATCGAAACCCAAGAAACCCAGGGCACCCTGGAGGCAAGCAGGGTGTTTCTTGGCATGGGCCCCCACTGTATCACTGGCCTCGATCCCACGCATCCCAAGTCTGCTGGAATTCCGAAGGTGTGCCGCGGGGGTATGCTGAAGGTCAGCCCTGCCGAAGACGGCAGCAGAAGCGACCAAGAAGGGCCCGGGGCCGTTCGGAGGCCCCAAAAAGCCCCGAGGGACCCCAGGAGGCCCACAAGAGGCTCCATGAGAAACTCCGTGGCGCTCCAAGAGGAAAAACCATGGACAGCCAAGACGATTACCGCCGATCAGCCACAGTGCCGCGGGCACTGACGAGTGGAATGCCCTTAGGGCCCCCTCGATCCCCAGTGATGCATCCCGCCAGCCCTTTGGGGCGTGAGTGGCTTAGAGCGTGTCATATTCAAACCCCCAAGGTTCCCCTGCGTGGAAGGGTGTACCGCCCCCCCGGGGCTGGACGAGGAGGGGGGTCGCCACCCTTTGGAGCGTAAACTAGGGCCCGAGGCTGCATCGAGAGGGCTCTAGGTATCCCAAGATGGCTTCCAAAATCGCTACAAATACGGTCGGGCCTGGGCCGGAAGAACACCCTTCAAGAACACGAGACCCTCCGCCAGCCCAGACCAAAAGAGAATCGAGGGTGCCCTTCCCCAGGATGCATAAGAACATCCGCCAAAATCAAAAGAACATGAGTGTACCCTCCCCGAACCGACCTCGATCTTATACCTCGGTCCGACTGTAGCGCCAGATGGCTCGATATGGCTCCCAACCTGCTCCTGAAGGCCTCAAGACCACCTCAAGACGGCTCCAGATGACCATGGAGCTCTCCAAGGAGGCCCCCAAGGAGGCCCCCAAGGGCCCAAAACCCGTCCAAAGCAATAAGGGAAACCGATGATGCTCGCCGTCTCGCCGTCTCGCTTCCGGTCGGCTCTCAAGGCCTCAAGATGACCCCAGGAGGGTCCAAGAAAGTTCCAAGAGGGGCTCAAGATGCTCCCACGACGGCATCACGAGCGCATAACGGCGCTCCCCAGAGGGGCCCAAGAGGCGATGGTTGGGGCTTTAAAGGAGCGGGGCCATTAGGGGATCCCCCACTTCGCTGATCGATGTCCTCCAAGATGGCCACGAACGCCCCCCCAGGGCCCAACATGGCATCAGCAGACCCCCTAAGAGGGTTCCAAGATGGCCGCAAGAGGACCTTGGATGGCCCAACGTGATCTCCAAGGTGGCATACGATACTCCGAGATAGCTCCAGATGGCCTCCTAAATGCCTCCAAAACGCACATGTGAACCCAGAAAAATAACGGGTCCAGGTGGTCACGGGGCCTCCTTATACGTTTCCTCCGCCCCCTCCTCCTCATACCGCTCATCTTCCTGCTGTGCCTCCCCTTCCGTTTCCTCTCCTTCTCTTACTCCTCGTCGCCTTCCTCTCCCTGCGTTGGAGGATCGAAATCATACGTTGTGACCGTTGAGCCGAACGTTTCCCGCAAGGTTCAACGTAGCCAGTCTCAGTCTCAGTCTCAGGTTTCTCCTCCTCCTCTTCTTCCCTCCTCCTCCTCCTCCTCCTCCTCCTCCTCCTCCTCCGCCTCCCTCCCTCCCTCCCTCCCTCCCTCCCATCCTTCCTTCCCTCCCTCCTCCTCCTCCTCCTCCTCCTCCTCCTCCTCCTTCTCCTCCTCATCCTCATCCTTCTAATCCTCCTCATCCTCCTCTTCCCTCCCTGCGAACCTCCCTCCCTCCCTCCCTCCTCCCTTCCCTCCTCCTCCTCCATCTCCCCCTCCTCCCCCTCCTCCTCCTCCTCCTCCTCATGTTCCTCCCCCTCCTCTTCCTCTTCCTCCTCTTCCTCGCCATCCTCCTCCTCCTCCTCTTCCTCCTCCTCCTCCTCCTCCTCCTCCTCCTCCTCCTCCGCATCATCATCATCATCATCATCATCATCATCACCACCACCACCACCACCATCATCATCATCATCATCAGCATCATCATCAGCAGCAGCATCATCATCATCATCAGCATCATCATCATCAGAATCATCAACATCATCATCATCATCATCATCATCACCATCATCGCCACCACCACCACCACCATCATCAGCAGCAGCATCATCATTATCACCATCATCACCATCATACTCATCATCATCATCATCATCAGCATCAGCATCAGCATCAGCATCATCATAATCGGCATCGTCAACACCATCATCATCATCATCATCATCATCATCATCATCATGATCGTATCATCATCATCAGCATCATCATCAGCATCGTCGTCATAAGCATCAGCAACATCATCATCAGCAGCATCAGCATAATCACCGTCATCAGCATCATCATCATCATCATCATCATCATCACCATCTTCATCATCAGCATCATCACCGTCGTCATCACCACCATCATCATAACCGTCACCATCACCATCACCATCATCATCATCAAAATCAACATCAGCATCCTCATCAACATGATCATCAACATCATCATCATCATCATCATCATCATCATCATCATCGTCATCATCATCGTCTCCTCTTCCTCCTCGCAACAGGCGCACGCGTTCGCGACCTGTTCCACTCAGAAGAAACGAGCCGCCTGATGCATGCATGTGTTTTGGGGGGTACCATTTGCGAATGTAAAGAAATGCTTTTCGTAAAATGCAAAAGGCGCGTGCCTGCGCGAACTTGGACGCAGCACTGGCAGACAAGTGTCAAACAACGATCGTGTCATGTCGTGCGGTGAGCGTCACCAATCTGACTTGTTCGTGTTGAATGTTTGAGAACACTCACAGGTGCTGGCGAGCACGGAGGGGAAAACGGCGGTTGTAGCTCACGCGAAATGCCGTTAAACCGAAGAAACGCGAAGTTCCGTCGTTGCGGCACTGAAAAGTTTCCCGTCTGAACGGTTTTCCGCCCAGAGGGCACGTGAAGAGGCGAACGGTATTACCCAATGTTTGGGGTCGGTGCTGAAAGAAGACCCCATGGCATATATTCTTGGCGTTGTGGCGCAGCGATGTTATCGCCGTTGTCGGGCCCCGGCAGGTCCGCTTCCCACGTGGGCCCCCCCTCGTCGAATCCGCAACTGCGGGGACATGGACATCGAACCAGAAAAAGCTGCATAAACATAAATTTTCAGCGCGCCGCGCGGATTTCCTGGATCTGCGCTGGACGCCCCTCCCTGGCGCGCGGAGCGTGCCAGGGGCGGCGCCGGAGCCGCCGCCAGCGGGGGCCCCGCGCAGATCCAGAAAATCCGCGCGGGGCGCCGACAGTTTATGCTGATGGTGTTTCTTGCCGTCGCTCGGACGTCCATTTCCCGTGCACTTTTCGGCCTCGCGCGCGTGTCTTTGTTGCTCGATGGTCCAGGATGGTCCTCAAGGGTCCTCGCCGAGAAGAGAATACAAACGTCCGAGCGATGCCAGGGTTTTTTCCCTGTCGACGGTAGGAATTTGCCGGGCACGCGCCTTCCCCGCGGGCTGTGGTCTGTCCCTCTCTCGCGCGGTCGGCTCTCTTGCGGGAGGCG